GTAAACCTATTTCGATTACAAGTTCATACATGTAAAATCCTTTCGACATCCAATTTCCCGATTAAATCTTTGGGTATGATTTTGTCGAAACCCAAATTGATTTAATAACTCTGATTCCATTTCAAGTTTAGTAATTCATTTATGAATCTCTCTTCATCCCGCCTTGGCCAAGGACTTTGAATTACTAACTATGAAACACATAGGAAATTCACTTATCTTCATAAGTGTCGAATCCTTTGTTGACTACTGACAAACTTCCATACATATTAATATAATACCCAAAATATCCCTTTATACGATTGTGCTAGCAATCAAAAGGATAAATCAAAGTAAAATATAATATGCACAAAGTTACCATCGTGCCTCAAGTCTAAGGATTAATCATGTACTATTGTAACATGAAAATTCTTATTCGACATGATAAACTTTCATTAAGAATTTTCATACGGTCATGTTCAGTGAACTTGTTCTCTAACAAGCACCCACATATATGTATTTGCGTCCCACGCTAATGTTGATGGAATGCAACATTCTTATCCAATAAGCATACATACTATGTGCAAGTCTTTTCCAGATTTATTCGATATCCCATCTCGAAACATCCAACGACTTGGAACTGTATTTAAGATCACAACTTTAAAGATATGTTCCATGATCACCATCTATATGCGCAACCATATCTTATAGCTATAAGTGATCTAGGGATTTTATCTTAAGTGCAAATAAATGATAAATGCTTACTCTTAAAATAAAGTAATGCCTTATTATTTAATATAATTCCAATAGATTGTATTTACAAGTAGAATACGTCCAATCTGATTGGAACGTCGCGTATACTACTCCAACAATTTCTCCATAGGGGGATAACGTAGTTCGGCATCATGTAGGGCTTTGCTAACATAATAAACAGGTGACTGTATTACCCCTTCTTCACGTACCAAGACAGCACTGATTGCCGAGTAACTAACTCCGAGGTACAAGAACAGCATTTCCTCGGGTTTCGGTTTCCG